GACGAGTTCTTGCAATGACCTCTGTGAACAGAGAGACGCTGGCATCGAGCAGACGTCTGCTCAGACCACGAGGCACGTTGGGAAGCTCCGGATGTCGCTCTGGTCTGCTTCGGAATCCCTGGTCCAAGGTGGAGATGTCAGTGGAGCCGTGTATGAGGAAGTTGTTGCAATCCTTCTTTGCACCTTATTTTGAAGAATAAATAAGGCATTTTTCTGGCTGCCTTTTGAAAATTTTAAAACAAAATGGAAGGATGGGGCGCAGGGCATTGTTAGGTTACCTCTGATGCTTTAGTGTTACGCATTCGACTTACAGACTGACAGCTGAAATTCATGGTGTAAGTATTCTCTTTCCTTGAGTATCTTTTCAGTGAACATTAAAAAGTACAACCCAAGTTTTGTATGACCAGCCAAAAAAAGTATCCCACTTCAAGGTCTGGAAGTAGGATTTATAAAGCATTTTTTCAGACTTTCACCTTAAAAAAACAACAACAACAACAAAAAACTATCACATGGGATGAATAAGCAGACTGGTTAGACAGTTTTGTAGATCTTCTTGGTGCTGAACTATGACATGAGCCTTATAGATTGTAAAATAGAGATAGTTGGAACTAATGTACAGAACTAAATTTTTTAAACTTTATTTGCTGTTAAATTCTGTGAAGTTTCAGTTATCTAAAATAAACTTAACACGAATACGAACTGTAATGTTTCAGATTGCAAGTAATACGTAATGTAGTGTTTGTAAAATACTCTTGTCTAATATTAACTAGTGGTATTTTGATTTGTACAGTCATGATTTGTTAAAATGACTTCATTTTAACATCCACTGATGTAGATTAATAATGTTAGTTCACATTTAAAGATTAATGGGGAAATGGTGCATGTAATACTTTCACAAGTATCGGGAGTTTGGTATGTTTTGAAAAGAGTAATTTAACTTTTGGGTGTCAGGAAATGGGTTTTTCTCAAAGTCCATTGCCGGCAATGGGCAAGCCTAGTAATATTGGCACAGAGCGTTAACTGTACACCTTATTAACAGTGAGGTGAATAACTTTGAATAAAGTTTTAGAGAAATATTTCAGATATTTGTGTATTCTTTTTCCCTCCTGAACTAACAGTTTAGGCGAGAAATCAGCTAATAGGCTATTTTGTAAATACGGGTGTTTGTTTCATTTCTGTTCATTCATTCACCCATTTATCTTTTTTTTTGTGTAAGATTTTATTTCTTTGACAGAGAGCACAAGCAGGGGAAGTGGGAGAGGGAGAAGCATGCTCTACGCTGAGCAGGTGGGCTCTGTCCCAGGACCCTGGGATCAGGACCTGAGCTGAAGGCAGTCGCTTAACTGACTGAGCCACCCAGGCGCCTGTATTCACTCATCATTCAGCAAATATTTGAAAACCTGATATAAGCAAGGCACTCTGGATTAAAAGAGTTTTAAGACATAACGGTTTTGCCTTCAAGGAGCTATTCATCTAGTATAGAAGAATTTATACTGAGAATGTATTATTCTTACACTTCAGACACAGACATTAGCTCCCAAATCAGGTAGTAAACATGTATAAACTTTGCCATAGGGGCACCTGGGTGGCTTAGTGGGTTGAGCCTCTGCCTTCGGCTCGGGTCATGATCTCGGGGTCCTGGGATCGAGTGCCACATCGGGCTCTCTGCTTGGCGGGGAGCCTGCTTCCTCCTCTCTCTGCCTGCCTCTCTGCCTATTTGTGGTCTCTCTCTGTCAAATAAATAAATAAAATCTTTTAAAAAAAGAAAAAATAAAATAAACTTTGCCATAAATATTTATGAAGAGAATTACTATGTTTTCCTAAAAGCAGCCTAAGATTAAGAGTTACCAATTAAAGATTAAAAGCAAATCTAGGAGTCCATATAGAATGGCCTATTATCAGCAAGAGCCTCCAACCTAAGAGCCACATGTTTTAAGATTGATTTATTTGAAAGAGTGAGTGAGCATGAGCAGGGGAGAGAGAGAGGGAGACTCTCAAGCAGAACCCAACTGAGCGTGGAGCCTGACCGGGGCTCGATCCCATGACCGCATGAGATGTGGACCTGAGTCAAAATCAAGAGTTGGACACTCACCCAGCCGAGCCACCTGGGTGCCCCTAAGAGCCCCATGTTGCTGGTGCTCCCAGGGGTTTTTGCAGTGGTGGTAACACTGGACTAATCACCTCTCAGAGCCCTATCCACTCTCAGGATTGTATGAATTAGGAATTAACCCTTATTATCTTCTAGCCCTGTTCGCTCGTATCATCATGTCATGTATAGATTCAATACTTAGTGATAATTTATTTTCTGTCCCTCTGGGTCATTTAGAAAATGGGCTAGTGTTCTTTCTGTAAGGTCATTTTTGCAAATTCTTCCATTCTAATTAATGCTTGTTGGAATTTATGCTCTATTTGGGTACTTAATTTTTTTTGAACATTTTGGCTTTTGTTTTTATGAATACTAATGAATAAGTTTAAGATTCACAGGAGATAAAACTCAAACAGATGCAAACAGCTACTTTTGATACTCCTGTGACTCAATTGAAACACTTCATGTCATGTCTCCTTGAAATGTCGTGAGAGAAACACTAAAGGCGTCAGTAAAGCACGGAACATAACAAGATCTTTAAAATAATTTAGAGCTAGGTAATCTTGACATAAAAATGAACACTTTCTTTAAAATTTCTAGCCACTACTTTTTTTTTTATTATTACTATGTTCAATTAGCCAACTTATAGTACATCATCAGCTGAATGGGAAGAAATCTAGCAACTACTTTTAGTTAAACCCTGAGTTCTTCATTTTTTTTCCCGATTGTTGGTCAAAGTAAATAGTTGACCTATGATTCCTCTCCCCCACAAAAAATTATTATAAAGGTAGTAATTAGATGCTGAAAATTATGGATACCAATCCTCAGGAAGTTTATAGATCATCAGGGCTTCAGCTTTTAATAAGAAACAAGTTTTCATTTTAAATATTTAGAAATAAAGAGTTCATCTTTGTCCTATTTCATCATTGCATATGCATCTGTAATTAAAAAGAGAATAAAAGTTATGTTAGACTAGTTTTGCAAAAGCGTCCCCATGCCTCCTTGCCTTCCAGATGCTGTTAAACTAGCACTTCCAACCCATCTTAGCAAACTTTGTTGAACTTTGGGGCCTCGTCTCAAGAGTTGCTTCCTCCTTGAAGGCTGACTGGACCGCCTTACTCTGCAGTGAGCACATTTCACCCTGTGTGCCAAATTTATTATTCAAATAGGCTTGCAACCTCCTAGGGGATCTGTTCCTTGTCTACTTCAAGTCAGTACCACACTCACCAAGGTTTACAGTGTTTTCATCTACCCTGTCTTCTCCATTCCTTACATGTGCCCAGTTCATTCGTACAGCTTTAGAGCCTTTGGTTTATGTATCCAAACCCCTGGGCCCCAAATCAGATGCTCTCTGGCCTGCCCTCAGCTCCAGCCACAGGTGTGGCAACTGTTTCCATTCAGTCTTCAACCAGGATCTCAGAGAATACCCAGCACCTTCCTTTGGATTCCTGCTATGTACCTTTCGCTGTACCTTCACTGCGAGATTCCCACAGAACTCACTTGGTATAATTTTCACAGCCTGGAAGTACAGTTCCCATGGAACCACTCTTAACCAATGGTGGACATTTGGCTGGCGGATAAGTGTTTCCTCCTTTCATCCCTTGGGCAGACAGTTCTGAGAAGCATTCCAGAAGGTTCCTCTTGGAGATCCTACAGAATCAACTACCAGTTGCCCATGGCCAATTTGGCATGCGTCCCTACACTGGCTTCCCTCTTTTCTGTGTAACTCCTGCACACCTTCTGCATCCTGGGCTCGTTTCCCAAATACGTGAGTTGCATGTAAGCTTTTGTCTCCGGCTTTTTTTTAGAATCCAGGCTAAGACAATCGGTACCCAGAACAGCTCTACAGTGCAAATCCTCAGGATAGGAGGTTGGAGCTGGTTTACTCACCTGTCATGGCAATCAGTGCCATCTGTAGTCGGCAGAATGTTGTAGCAATTCGACACCAGCCCCCCTCCCCCAGCCCCGCCATCCCCGAAGATGACTACCTCTGGAGCTTGTGACTATGTTACCTTACTTGGCAAAAGCAAATGTGATGAAGGTTAAGGATCTTGAGATGGGACAATTATGCTCCAATATCTGGCTAGGCCCACCCTAAGCATGTAGGTCCTTAAGAGCAGAGAACTTTTCTGGGCTGTGATCAGAGGGAGATGTGAGTACAGACCGAGGGCCAGAGAGATGCAACACTGCTGGCTTTGCAGAAGGAGGAGGGCGACCGTGAGCCAAGGAACGTGGGCAGCCTCTAGAAGCACACACAGCGAGGAAATGGATTCTTCTCTAGATCCTGCAAAAAGGAACCCAGCCCCGATGCCACCTTGGTGTTAGCGCCGGGGAGACCTGATATGGACTTGTTTCTACCTCAGAACTGTCAGATAGTCATTCGCGTTGCTTAAGCAGCGACTCTCGTAGTAATTTGTTAACAACAGGACATAAGGGGCTGTTGCTGAGCAGACGCTGACCGGCCCCGGCATGTGGGAACAACACGATGGCCACCCAGACTCCTGTCTCGGTGCGGGCGGATGAGGGCTGGCGGGCTCTCCCAGCACCCGTGGCGCTTGACCAGCAGGGGCCTGTGAGAAAGACTGTGCGCTTGGCTAGTTTTTATTAACTGCTCGGGAAGCCTGGGGTAAAAATACAGGCCTAGGTCAGCCAACTCCCACCTCCAGGCCCACTGGGGCCGGGGTTGAGGAGAGCCTGACCTCCCGAAGCCCAGGGAAAAGTACTGGAAAGAGGCCTGGGGTCTAATCGGGCGGTTGGCTGAGCTGCAGATGGGATGAAACACTGTCCTGACAGTTCTTTATCAAAGTCAGAGCCTGAACAGGAACAGATTGGGACACTGGGGCCTAACTTAGGAACAACAGTGTAGATGTACCCGAACACACTGACGTGTTCAGGTGTTCAGACGTGTAAGGCCCCTAACGTGGGGCTGGCAGGAGCGGCTGCCACTATCTCGCGCTGTACTTACATGGTTTCTCATCAGTGCCTTTGTCCAGCCCTGGAACATCCTGCACAGGGGAGCAAGGGTCCAGCCCGTCCCATTGCTCGCTCTTTCCTCCACACCTGGAAGAGTGCCTGGTCCATAGGAGGCACTGGTTAAATATTTCTTGATTAAACAAATGAATGACTGCTCGAGGTTAAGAACAAGAGAGCAAATCTAGACTTTGGTGGAAGGGGGGGGGAAATGTATATCTTAAATTTAAATTTATTTAAAAATTACAAAAATGTCTCCACCCAAGTTGTCCATGAAAAAATTTAAAAGCAGCAACAATGCTCTTGGATAATGACCAGCAGTTTAACGCAATTTATAAAATTGAACAAAACTTAGATGTGTGTCTTATGCCTCTATAGACACGGGACCCTTTCTTTAGGTCCCTTTCTTTAGGGTCCGGCAGCAGCATTATCGGGACGCTTTCCAAAGCCTTCTTCCTTTGGACTCTGTGCAGGACGATCCGGTAGACGCCCGTGATGGAGCTCCGGGCGTCTCTCCCTTGGTTGTTGCGGATGTGCTCTTCCGTAATACCCAAATGTTCTAGAGCGCTTTTGACCTCATTTTCTTCTTCTTTGAGGGTGCCGGTTTCAGACAGATGTTTGGGGTCCAGCTGGAAAGGCTCCAGAGGGGTGGGGTACGGCACCCCCTGCATCCACTCGTTGCTCATGATGGAGTCGATGCCGTGCCTGTCGGCGGGCACGGGCTGGAGGACCCCGCGGATGAGGCGGAGGCAGGGCGCGGACACGTGCGGGGGCACACTGTACGCGCCCTCCAGGATGCTCTTCTTCAGCTTGGCCACGGTCTCTGCCCGGAAGGGCATGGTGCCGGTCACCATGAAGTACAGCAGCACCCCCAGCGCCCAGATGTCCACATAAACGCCCACGTAATGCTCGTCCCGGAAAAGCTCGGGCGCGGCGTAGGGGGGCGACCCGCAGAAGGTGTTGAGCATTTCGCCTTTTTTACTTACGGTGCTGAATCCAAAGTCACCCACCTTCACGCAGGTATTATTGGCATAAAATACGTTTTCTGCCTTCAGGTCTCTATGAATAATTTGGTTCTCGTGCTGTGGAAGAAGACATGGGGAGAAGTCATCGTTTTCAAGGTAGAATACCGACACGAAAATAATAAAGGCGTCAGCTGCTCTGATGTTTCACTGTTGTGAGGTGATGATGGGGTAATAATAGCAGTTCCACGGATGTCAACTTAACTCAGACCTGTGAAATCCCCCACCCCCCACCCCCCACCCGCCTGCCCGGTCCTGACCCTTAGCAAACATGACCCCCGCCCCCCAACAGACCAAAGCTTCTGTTCTTCCATGGGACAATGGCAGGAGTCTGTCCCACACATGGGACTTGGGAATTAGTGCCAGAAATGAGGCCCGGATCTTTCAAAACTGCATGTTCTGAAACACAGTGAAATTAATCCTTCCTATTTGAGGCCATAAATCTTTTTTTATTTTTTTTTTTCCTGGCTGAGCAGTCTCTTGACGAGGGCCAACACCAAGACGGTTCAGAACCCTTCCCCAACTTTTCAACCATGCTTCTTTGTGGGGGGCCGGTGGGGGGCTCCTTTGTCTTTATAGAATTCAGTAGAAAGAAAGAAAGGTTATATTTGGCAAGGTTCCAGCAGCAGGTCCCGCTGTGGGTGGCAAGCACATGCCCCACCCCCACTCATGTTCTGGATCCAGACAGACAACCTTGGGACCCCTGACGTCCTTAGTCCCCAGGGCTCTTGGGAGATGGTTTAATGTTACTTTGCTGGGCTTCCTGGGGTAGGAATCCAGGCTTTGGAGCCTGGTGGCTTGGTTAATTCTGGGTTCAACAATACAGGCTGTGTAATATGTTTTTTTTCTCTGTAAAGTGAGACAGCCACAGGGGCGCCTGGGTGGCTCAGTGGGTTAAAGCCTCTGCCTTCGGCTCGGGTCATGATCCCAGGATCCTGGGATCGAGTCCCACATCGGGTTCTCTGCTCAGCGGGGAGCCTGTTTCCTCCCCTCTCTCTCTGCCTGCCTCTCTGCCCACTTGTGATCTCTGTCAAATAAATAAAATCTTTAAAAAAAAAAAAGTGAGACAGCCACAGCTGGCTGCGCAAGTGCTGCATCTGAGGTGCTCAGCAAGGTCCTGGCACGGGGTCAACACACGCAGCGGAACCCGGATCTACATCTATGATCCTCCCTTCCTCTCTTCAGAAACCAGGCAGCTGGGAGAAATGTCAGGGCACAGAGCTACAGGGGACTCAGCCTGATTCTCTTTAGCTCTCCCACCCAATTTCCTTTCTACGGAGGATGTAGAAGACTCTTCCCATCTGTTCTATTGTTTGATGTGTGTCCTGCCCACTCCCTGGGCCTGGGAAAGTTCACAGCAGCACAGGGCCACTCGAATGCCACCCGTGGCACCACGAGTCTGAAACACCCACCGCCATTACAGTCGGGCTCTTCTCTCTTGCTCGTTTTTCCCCCCTCCCCTTCTCTCTCCTGATGCCTACCTTGGGGCTCCAGGTCACTAATTTCCCTCTAGTGATTGGTTCAGGAAGTCTCTGGTCCCAGCCTCAACCCACAGAGCCCAGTCAGAGGAATGAACTAGAAACAGGTTCTCAGCTCACACAGTCCCCAGACAAGTGTTTCTTTTCTACCATCTGGGTAAAGAGGACAGCTCAGACTTGTGGACTAACGGAGCCATGGAGGTGGTGGTCAGGCCCGTGCCTCAAGCTCCTCTGTGTGCACACAATACGGCCAATGGTGGAGAGGGCAAGTGAAAACCAGCTCTTGGAGGAGCTGGGCGGTGTGGTTTAGGAGTCCAGATTTACCTAAAGAAATAATCAGGGAACTAAAGTAAGAATAGCATCACCAAATGTTAATCGGAAGAGCATGGAGGCAGCCAGAGCTGGAGGAACTCACCAAAGGCAGGAAGGATCTGCATGAGTTGATGTGAGATTGAAGAATATTCCAGAGAGAGGGAAAGCTGAGCAGAGACATGAAGGGTGGATGGGATTTGGAATGTGACATGGTTAGAGGGGACAGAGCGTCCTACACAGACACAGACATGAAGACAGGGCCAAGCAGCAGAGAGGAGCAGGCTCTCTGGTAGTGGAGGACAGGTGAGAAATGGCGGTGGCCAGGGCCTGATGAGGGTCATCTCGTTACTGGAAGCGACTCCTGCCAACTGCCCCAAAGCCAGGAGGCTGCCGTGTAACTGGAGATCCCTGGGTATTGCTTCAGAGGCGAGTGTGATCTCATCCAGACTTTGGACTCTTACAGATGGGACGCCTGTCAGCCCTCATGGGACTAAAGCCTCCCGGGACGCCCGGCTGGTGGTGAACCAAAGCCCATGCTCCACTGCGGGGAGTGTGGGAGCAAGACTCCTCTCCTCACCCCCACTCACCATGTGCTTCACGGCAGACACAATCTGGGAGAAGATGAGCTTGCTTTCCGGCTCTGAGAGCTTCCCTTCAGTGCTAATTTTTCCAAAGAGTTCCCCACCCCCTGCATACTCCATGACCAAGTGGAGCTTGGATAGGGTCTCCACGACTTCATACAGACGGATGATGTTGGGATGGTGCAGTTTTTCCATGCTGGAAATTTCACGGGATAGTAGCCTTTGGGTTTTCTGGTCTAGCTTGGTCTTGTCCAGGATCTTAATGGCCACCTTTTCTGGGAGGAAAAAAAAAAAAAAGTCAAAGGATGTGCCAGTGTTCATAGGTGCATAGAGATTTTTTGAACGGGGAGGGAGCTAGATTGGCCCCTTTATTTCACTAGACACAGAGGGTGAACGGCTGTTCCCAAGCTCACAGAGCTCTTCAGTGGTGATGACAGCCGTTCTCAAGTTGACATCAGTCCTCATCCCTTGGGTCAGGGTGAGTCTTCAACACACAGATTTTGATGCCAACTTCTGCCTTCCAAGGAAGTTTCAGTTTGATGATATTTATCTAATTTCCTGGATAAAGTGAAAGATTTTTGCTTAGCCCAGACAGGCCCTCCTGATCAGACCCAACCTATGTCCTCTGCCTCGCCAGGCATCACCCCTGTCCGCAGTTAACCCTGCCCCACACAGAGCTGTAGTCCAACCATTACACAACCGCTTGTTGTTTCTGAAAAGGGACAGCACATCCCAGTCTGGGACCTGTCCCCCATCTGGAACATTTCCTCTATCTGGCTCGCCACTTCTTCCCTGTTCTTTACGCAGGTAAGGCCTGATGAGCCTTGTGGGCTAGCCTCGGAACCAGCCTCTTCCAGGACATTCTGATGTCCGTGTGTTCTCTGTGTGACGATCTCAGCACACTGGCTTCTACATGTTGATTCCTTCTCTGTGTCTCCCTCCTACTCCTTCTCTCGTGGCTACATTTTATCTGACTTTGTTCATGCCAGGCACATAACATCACTGTGCAGTCCACACCGGCGCTCAGTATGTGCAGTCCCAGGTGGGCAAGAGCCAGGATGTGGGATGGGTCACCAGTCTGATCATTCCGGACTGTAATTTGCTATTACGTATTGACAGTCCTCAGAATGGCTGCACATTTTGACCTAGCCATTTCACCTTTGGCAATTAATCTTTTTTTTTTTTTTTAAGATTTTATTTATTTGACAGAGAGATCACAAGTAGGCAGAGAGGCAGGCAGATAGAGATGGGGAAGCAGGCTCCCTGCTGAGCAGAGAACCCAATGTGGGGCTTGATCCTAGGACCCTGAGATCATGACCTGAGCTGAAGTCAGAGGCTTAACCCTCTGAGCCACCCAGGTGCCCCGACCTTTGGCAATTAATCTTAAAGAAATCATAATCATCTGACATGTGTACAAGACTAGACGTGGAAGGAGACTTCTGTGATGTCAGGAATAGCATCCAGCCAGAGAGAGGGTTAAAATGATGTCTGGTTCATATGTCTCTGTAACAGTACACCGAGCAGCTAGCCACATGATGTGGATCCTTATTAAAATGAAGAGATGTTCAATAGAGAACAAGTGAGAAAAAATACAAATACACATTTGCACACATATACACTTATACAAATACAAAATACAAAAAGATCTGGCAAGTAATGCACCAAAATGTTTAGAACAGTTATTAATAATGGGATCATGGGTGGTTTTTAAAAAAAAATTTTTTTATGTATCTATATTCTCTAATTTTCCTACAATTAATTTATACGATTAACATAAATTGTGTAATAGAAGTGGTCAATGTTTGAAAATGATGAATGTACTCCAAAGTAAAACAATTCATTTTTTGGTTCAAATTGGACCGGATTTTCTATTAGGTAAGGAAAGAAGGTTCCAGGAAAGTAAAAGAGAAAACAGGATTGCAGGGCTCCCTTTGACCCACTTGCAAAACAAGTATTTTGAAGAACTTTGGCACAGTGGTTGTGGGCATGAAAACCGACGCGGCTGGCTGGAAATCGGAGCCCTGCTGGTGCTGAAGGTAGGTTCACTAGGGCTTCTGGAATGGAAAGGGGCAGGGTCCACTGGCGTCTGATGTGACCCCACCCACTCTGGTGGAGGCAATACTGGGGAAGAAGGTGGTGAGCCATAAGGGAGAAGAAACCCTTGGGGTTTGCATAACCTCTGCAGGCAGCGAGTCCCAGAGACGGACTCCCACCACTGAGCCCGGAGGGGCATGCCACTTCAGTTTTTAGGAGTAAGATTCACTCGAGCTGCTTCCCAGAAACAGGAGCTTTAGGTTTGGGTAGCTGATAGCTGAGCTGCTGTTGTACGGGCTGGAATAAAGAGCACCATCCCTGAATCTGGCAGATGGCCTGCAGAAAAGCCCGCCCTGCTCTCCCTTGATCCTGACCCCAACGTCTGCGAGGGCGCGCGTCCCCTCTGCGGCTTGGCTGGCAGCCACAGCCAGTCTCCCACACTGTGGGCACCCAATGACCAGGTCATGGAGCGGTCAGGCTGCTGTCACAAGCCTCCCTGGATCACAAGCCTCCCTGGAGCACAATCCTAGTCTTATTTGTTCAGCGTTTGAGTGGCTGTTGGCAAGGCTGGCGTCCCAGGGTCTGGACTAGAGTAAGGCAGGAGAGGGACTGTGGGGGCCGGGGGGGCAGGGGGTGGAAAGTGGAGCTTCTTTATACTCCATGCCCTGGGCACCCCGGGGCCTCGTGCTCCTCCCCACCCGCTTCCTCCTCTGTGTGTTAAATCAGATGCTTGCCATGCTTCATACCATGAAGGGATAATCATAGAACCCACTGTAGAAGCCTGGGTACTGGGAATGGTCATCAAATGGCAGAAACTGCCCTTCCAGGAAGAGTGAGGTCTCCACGTCCACTCCTCCGACGGGCGGTCAGTGAGCGCAGAGGAGCACCTGCGTGCACCAGGCAATGAAGAAGACACTGTTCCTAGTCCAGTGAGGGACAAAGACTGAAAAAAGCCCCTATTACAAGTGCAGCCCAAGTGAGGAAGGAGTACGCCTTTCCGGTAAAGGACCCTTGAGCTGTGGCCAAGAGGTGGGCCAGGCCTGGGCGAGGGATGACGTGTGTGTTCAAGGACGTGAGGGGAGCCCACTATCCTGAACACAGAGAATGAGGGGAGTGGGCCCAAACCAGCCTTGTGTGGTCAGCAGCAGCAGAAAACCCAGGACCTTGGAGGCTTTTTCAAGAAAGGCAGACTTTATCTGTTGGACAGTGGCAGACAGTCTGTGGGTTTCAGGGAGAGTATGATCATCTGATTTCCATGTTAGAATGAACACTCTGGCTGCACTGTGGGAAGTGGATAGAAGACCTGAGAGCAGCCTGGTGGTTTAGATGGTGATTATAGCAATCCCACAGAGAGGACCCTCTTGATGCAGGCACGGGAGTGAGAGAGAGAGAGAAAGAGAGAGAGAGAAGAAAGTAACCCTATCTTTCTCCAAATCTAGTGGAGAGTCTGACACAGGTCCATGTAGTGGGCAACACATTCCTTAAACTAGGACTTGCAAACTCCAGTATCTCGAGGGGGCCAGGGTGGAGATAGGGTGGCACACTTATTGGAAGGCAATAGGGATTAGTGGGGACTGTGGAGTGCTGAGGAGTACATGCCCCAGTGCAAACTCCACTCCAGACAGTTGTCCCTGTTTAGAATGGAGACTCAGTGTTGTCAGATCTGAATTTTTTCAAGAGAAGCCAGACATCATTTTTATGCAAATGTTCCAATTGCTAAGTATCAGCAACAAATTCCCATTTTTAGACCTAGAGTGGACCAAGCAAAATCTGTCTGTGGGACCAAAGGGACAAGGGGGGAAAACAGATATCAGAACACAGAGTGCTGTGTAGAGAAGTCTGCCATGAGAATTGCTGAGAACTTCCTTCCAGACACTCAGCCAAGCTGAGCCAACCTTACCGTGAGAGGCTGGGAGAACAGAGATCAAACCTCCCTCTCCTTCCTTTGGTCCCCTGCAAGAGACCAAAGCCAACTGGCACCCAGAGAACTAAGGAGACTTGATGCAGCTTGGGACAGAGAGCAGAATGAGGGTGGAGAGTGGATCTGGGGAGGAGGTAGAAGGTGGCCCGCACAGCAGGGTAACAGGGGACCGGTGTGAGAGGTAATGTGGGCATAAAGCAGCAGGCTGTGACCCTAGACTGGGGTCAGTGAAGACTCGTAGGCCTTTCTCTGGAATCTGTTAGCTAGAGGAAAGTAGAGGAGAGGCGATAAGAGGAGGTTCTAATGGTAGGGACATGTAGGAGAGATCTCTAACCAGGAAAGACCCTGATACCCTAGGGTATTGGTCTATATAGCTTCTGACTGGCTTTATCAATAAAACACCTTTGAGCACTACTCTAGTATATATATTTAGACATTGTATGCATGTACTACTAATACACACATTTTAAATACATGTAAGCATAGATATTAAAAGATAGAATGACAAACATAAATGGCAATTCTAATATTGTCTTCCGTCATCCGGTGAATCATGTTGGGCATCCCCTGGGGAATGCAGACCCTACTCTGGAGACCACTCAGGGTCACCAGTGACCCCCAAGTTGCTAAAACAGATGGTCAGTTTTTAGGCTTTATCCCTCCCCCTTAAAACATTTTTTTATCACTTGGTTTCTAGGGCAACACACACTCCTGACATTTCTCCTAGCTCTCTTTTGTCTTTTTATTACTGACGTGTAGTTGAATATGATGTTATATTGGTTTATGTTACAAATATAAATATGAATATGATGTTATATTAGTTAGGTGGATCCCTAGTGGTTCGAGTCCCACACATGACTTAGCGCTCACCTCCGTGAGGAGTCACCGTACGACATTATTACAACATCACTCACTACATGCCCGTGCTGTGCTTTTCCTCTCCGTGGCTTATTGTATAACTGGAAGTCTGTACCTCTTAATCCTCTTTGCCTCTTTTGCCCATTCCCCCACCCCCTTGCCTCTGGCAACCACCAGTTCGTTCTTTGTATTATTTCATTAATTAATTAATTTGTAAAGACTGATTTATTTATTTTGGAGAGAGAGAGAGCATGTGTGCAAGTGGGGGAGGGGGCAGAGGGAGAGGGAAAGAATCTCAAATAGACTCCCTGCTGACTGTGGAGCCCAACTCGGGACTCGACCTCACAGCCCTGAGATCATTACCCTGAGCCAAATCCAGAGTCTGATGCTCAACTGACTGAGCTACCCAGGCATCCCGTGTTCTCTGTAGTTAAGAATCTGTTTGTTTTGTTTGTAGATTCC